TTGAACTCACTGTGTAGCCCAAGCTGTCCTTAAACTAGTGGCAATTCTCCTACCTCAGCCTCCCAAATGCTGGGATTACAGTCATGCACCATCATGCCCAGCAGACTCACTAACTTTAAAGGCATCTCTATTTTACCACCTGATCTAAATTAGCTGTGTTAAAGCTATGTAAACCAAAAGGATTTGAGTTAGCAACATAGATGTCTATTTATCTACAAATCAATTTAAGTAGGACTTTTTGGAAGATAATATATAACTGCAAGTTAACACAAACTCACAGAAACATATATGTTAGCCTAAATCACATATAATCTTTATATTACCAAACTTTAAGGCTTTTACTTATAAGTGCCCTTTAAATCTATTAGTTTTTGTTTTATTTTACATTTTAGCTCACTTTTATTTCAGAGCCAGAAGTTTACAAAGACAAAAATAAAATTGGTAGGAGCTGAAAAATCTTTAATGAAGCAGCTGCAGATACTTTATCAGTTATTAAAACACATAACAAGCAGACAAACAAGATAACACACAGAACACATAAAACAGTTATATTTAATCATAGTGCATTCTCAGGTGTTTTTTCTATGGCTTTGAGCCTTTGTAACAGCACTGATAGGAGTTTGTTTATTTTCTTTTCTTTTCTTTTTCTCTCTTTCTCTCTCTTTTTTTTTTTTTTTTTTTTTTTTTTTTTTTTTTTTTTTTTTTTTTTTTTTTTATTTTTTTTTTTCTTTTTTTTTTTTTTTTTTTTTTTTTTTTTTTTTTTTTTTTGATAGATTCACCCACTGGTCCAGAGATTTAGCTCAACGGTGCGGCACCTGCCTTGCAAGTGCAAGGTTCTGAGTTTGATCCCTGGTACCAGGAAAAAAAATTATTCCTAGCATACTTTATGGGCTTGGCTTTTGTTAACTTCAGCCCTCTTTTATTTTCTTTTTTCTATTTTTTTGTTTTGTCTTTTTCCCATTTAAATTTTTTTTCATTTTCTTTTCTTTTTTTTTTTTTAGTCAGATGTTTTTAAGAGACATTGTAAATGTTGTTTACATTATTTTTCCTTCTTAATGTTTGACCCAGATGGTAGGCAAAGCAGGAGAACTAAAAGTAAAAGAACAAAGTGAGAAATAAACAAAATGTCCCCACTCACTCTGCAACCAGACAGTGAAAAGACCTCTGAGTTGATGGACCTAACCATTGACCTCCTGTAGGCTATTCCGTGGCAACCTGTGTCCCCTCACCAGAGTGAAGAGTTGAACACGTCCTTGTTCCTTGTCCAGGCTTGGGAGGTCAGTCCTCCATGCTGATCTACAGCAACATGTTTTTCCTCACATGTAAGCATCTCTTGTCATAGTGAGCAACCACAGACGGCATAGAGGATGAAAACGACTACTGAGAGATGAGATTTAGTTCAATCACTGAGAGGCCCAGAGGGGCTGTTTCTCAACTGAGAGTGCCCAGCCATTAGGAAGACTCTGCAAGAAGAAAAGGCCACCACGCTGAGAACTTCCTTTTATTTAGAATCTCAGTATAAGAGAAAAAAGCAGGAGAAAAGCAGTTTGGGCCCAAGGCTGTCTCAAGGCCGGGCAGTTTTTCCTGGGGGAAGGGGAAGGAAATGGCCAGACATAACATGCTTCGCTGATCTAAACTTGCTGTTGTTTAACCATTCACTCATCACAGTGCCTGTGTGTTTCTGCCCCACAGTTGAATCGTTTAGTTTAACCATTTGCTCCTGGCTAGGTCCCCGAGTTCACCTACTCTCCCAGACACAGAATCAGGAACACCCAGGTGGGGGGTCCTGTGAAGTCTGGTCAAACACTACAAATCAGGATGCTTTATTTTCCCCAGGAGACCATTGTTAAACTTTGGCATATACTTCCCCAGCTCCCCATGTTTCAATAAGCCTGGGGTGGTTTGGGAAGCAAGTTCAAGGTGAAGACCCACCCCCAGCATTGCAGCTGGGTGTTTCATTCTGATTCTGTACATGTCCTTGAATCACAGTTCTAACCAGTGCCCAGCAGGCAGTGAGACAACAGACTCTCTGCTACCCCACTCCCCCAGCTCCACCCCTACCTTACACCCTTTACTGCTGCAGCTCCTGTAACCAGAGTATGCCTCTTGATGTATAGGGCACAGATGTATACAGCACAGAGTCAATGCCACTGAGGACCAGTGCTAGGGACCCCTCACAGTGGGAAGGGGACCTTGGGGTGGATTCACCTGTAGACAAGGTGAGCAGCATATCCCAAAGCCTCAGCCTGGCTCTCCACATAGGCCTCTTGCAAGCTAAGAGAGCAAGTGGCTTTGGTCACCCATGTGGGAAGCCCATTGGACACAGGGCTCCAGCTTCAGGCCAGATCCACATCCCAACTCATCCACATCCTCATGTTACTTCCCCCACATACGTCTGCTAGCCCTGGACAATGGCACCAGTAGGGCCCACCCCTTAGGCCCCTAGATGAAATCCAGTAATTTAAGTTAAAGGCCAGAACTATAGCACCAGTTCCATAAAGTGAAGCTATTTCTGCTTTTCCACTTAGATGAAGGGAAAGTAATGTCCACATCAATATTGTTACTCCCAGCTGGACATGGTGGCACACGCCCGTAATCCCAGCACTCAGGCTGAGGTAGGAGGATCGCTGCGAGTTCGAGACCAGCCTGGGCTACACAGTGAATTCCAGAGCAGTCTGAACTACATAGCGGAAGAGACCCTGTCTCAAAAAGCAATATAGATAGATAGATAGATACATACATACATACATACATACATACATACATATAGATGTAGATATTGTTACTCCCATTTTATGGACGACAGATACTAAGGCACAGAAACGACAGAAGAAAAATCTACTCATAATTACTTGGAAACTTGGCTTCTGATACGGTGAATGCTCAGGATGCATCCTGTTAACCAGTGGTGACTTTCACCCAGCTCCCCTAGCAGCTGGTTGCTGCATCCTAGGGCCAAGTCCTCATTTATTCCCAGTAGCTGCAGATTCCCCAGCAAGCAGGGAATGGTTAATTCGGTTACAGTGATTACCAGCTGGTTCTCTGGTTTATGGCCATAACCCCTCTAATGCAGCGTCTATGGGGAGAGGCATCACTCTCCCTTTCCATTACCTAAACAGCATTTTCAAGTGTCCCTGAAATTCATTTTCCAGCATCCACGAGGGAGGCTCCCATCACAGCTCAGATTTCCCTGGGGAAGGCTGGCTCAGCTGCAGGTCCATGGCTTGGCCTCTCTGTGTTGCTTTCTGGACTATAAAGCTGAAATCGTAATATGCTTTGAGGATCTATGGGAAGCTTTTCATGGATTACTGCTTGCATGGAAGAGGAGTGCTTTGTGGCCAGATACAGGGTGGAGTTGGCAGCAACCTGGGCAGGTACAGACATAGAGATGCTGTCCTCCCAACCTGGTGTGGGGCCCAATGCAATGATAGTAGAGACTGACTTGGCCAACATTGCACCGTTCTGGCTTTATGAGGACTAAGGACTTCCCAGTGCTCACCACAGCCAGTACCAAAGTGCTGCCCCAATTCCTGTCTCCTAGGGAAGGAAACTGGGGCACAGAGGTTAAGCAATCTACCTGTGGCTGAGCCAAAACTTCAAGCCAGGAAGCTGACTGTAAGAATGGGCTTTTCAATGGGTCTATGGAGAGGACTGGAAAGGTTTACATGATCTGAGTTGAGCAAAATTGAGCTTGGGGGAGAGGAAGTCTTCAGCAGAGATCAAAGTCACTGACATGCAGAAGAACAAAGAAGGCCTCCTGCATGCCACATGATAAGACTGACCAGTCCTGGGCTGGGTTGTGAGCCCTCCTGAAGTGAAAGTCACTGTCTTGCTACAAAAACATAGAAGCTGAGACTCCAACAAGTTAAGTGATTTACGAAAGGCACACAGCCTGAGGTGCTGGGCAGGGCTCAACCAGCTAACGTGGCCCCGCACCCACGCTCTCTGTCAGCCTGGTTCATTCAGGCTCTAGACGTCAACCTTGTATCAAGGTGGTGCCCATACCTGCAATGGATTCAGTCAGCCCTCAGTATCCTCAGGCTCCACATCTCAGGTTCATTCAGCCTCAGGTTGAAAATGTTCCAAACAGAACTGTGTCTGCACCAAACCTGTACATATTTGTCATTATTTCCTAAACAATGCAGTCTGGCAACTGTTTATATAGCAGCTACATTGCATTTGAAGACTATAGGGGGATATATGAAAATACGTGTTACGCATAAATACTACGCCATTTTAGAGAAGAAATCCTTGGATTTGGGTGTCTGGGGGACATCCTAGAACCAGTCTCCCCAGGATACTGAGGATGGCAGTACTCACGTATATGACGGAGATGGCACTGTCTCACTGTGCACTTTGTGCACGGTAGCTGACTCCCGTTTTAAAGGTAAAGAAATGAGACCTTAGGCTGGGAATGTAGCTCAGTGGTAGAGGCTCATGTAGCATGCACAAGGCCCTGGGCCCCATCTAAATAAATAAACTAAATAACTAAATAAGCTTTTATTAAATACTAAAAAACAATTAAGACAAGAAATGAAAGCTCACCATACCAGGACCTGAAGTACCATCCACCACATTGTCCTTAGTCACCCCAGAGCCTCGCCCCCAGATGCAGGCTTCCAGTCCTTGCCATCTAAAGCTACAGCCCTACTGTCCCAGAAAGACTGCAGATGGGTGCCTGTTGTGGGGTGATGGGGCACAGCCCCAGGCCTGCCTCTCCTTGCCTTACCCAGGCAGTAATGGACCCTCAGTGGGCAGAGCTATTCCAACTTTTGGTATTGTCACCAGGCCCTCCCTACCTGGTATGGAGCCTCTTCTGTGCCTTGTCCTCTGCCGTGGAGAGGAGGCCCCACTCCCTCCCATGACCTGGGCTGTCCTGCCAGGATCTGGATGTCTGGGTCCCTGACCCCAAGGCCTAAGCCATCTTCTCCCTGGGGACTAAAGACAGGACTCTTTCCCCAGCAGCTTATGTATCCTGTTTGTGTTTGTCTTCATTTTAGGGATTTATTTCTCTACAAGGGACCCAGGTGACTGAACTTCCTCCTGGCCCCGAGGATCCAGGAAAGCACCTCTTCGAGATCAGCCCAGGTAGGACTGAGCACTCTTCAGTGGCCCCAGAGGATGTCAGAGGGGGTTGCCATACCCCGCCTGGGGAGGGCAGATCCCATGACACTTGTCTTTGTGGGAATGCTGCCATAGTCTCCACCAATGACCTGAAAGTGGGGGACCAATCTATAGGGCATTACACACTGGGAAGAAATCCAGATGGTTATCTGGATTTTTTAAATTCATGATAAAGACAAGAGGAGAAATTAGTCAATCAGGCTATCTGAGGGTGACAGTGCTATCCTGTTAGCAGTTACAAAACAGTTCTTTGCAGCTCCACGTTTTCCACTGTGGTTGTTGCTGAACTAAGTAAAACTGTCTGCCAAGTGAGCACGTCTGTTCACTGTGGGGCTGGGTTTTGCAGCCGAGCAGGATCTGATTTAGCATGGCTTCCACCAGACACAGCGCCCAAGACAAGGATCTGAGCAGTTTACTCCAGAGCTGGCCACAAGGAGCAAGGCAAAGGTGCACAGAAGGCAGCTGGAGAAGGGAGGGAGCCAGCCAGGTGTGCAAGTGACAGATGGCTGTCCCCCCCACCTCAGCTTTAGTGGTGTCTGAGGTGGTACAAAGCCAGCCTCAGGGATGTCTCACCCAGGAAGAGGAGGCCAATGCCACCAGCCAGCCACCCAGAACTGCACACTGCAGAGTTAACCATGACCCTAATAGTTCCTGGCCCACCCCCTTCCCCAACCACGATGCCTGCAGACAGAAAAGGCCCATGGTGACAGTCACAGGGAAGAGGCCACCAGAGTGACAGGAATAGTGAGTTTCCAGGGGTCAGGCAGGGAGGACACTTCCTTCTGTAAAACATGAGGTGCATTGCCTCCCTGGATATCTGCAAGGCAGTGAGCAGCCACTCCATTGGCTCTGAAGAAATGATTTGGCAAGGGGTAGACCTGCCCAGGCTCAGGCCAGCAAGCTAAGGCACAAAGAAACAGGAAGGAGAGAAGCCAAGCCCGGAGGCCAGGGTGTGGCCATTTTTTGCAGCCTCTGATAAGAATCCCAGGAGGCTGGGCTGAGGTGCTGGAACACACTTCTCAACCTCAGGCTTTGCATGCGACACCCACGTGCCTGTGGCTTCCAAGGGCTCCTTTGATCTGTGCAGGGATCTTGGTACTAACTTGCATGTTAAGAGCAGACAGAGGGCCAGGGATTTGGTTCAGTGGTTCCCCTGCCTGCCTCACAAGCTCAAGATCCCAAGTTCAATCCCCAGTACAAAAAAAAAAAAAAAAAAAAAAAAAGCAGATAGATATCAGCACAATTCATGATAGCTAAAACTTGAAAGCAGCCCAGTTGCCCATCAACAGGAGATTGGATAAAGAAGATGTGCTTTTTTAAATAAAATGGAGTACTACTCAGCCATAAAGAATGATAAACTAGAGACATTTATAGCTAAATGGATGCACATTGAGGCCATACTCTTAAGTGAAATAAATGGGGCACCTATGTGTAAAAACTGAATAGGTTTTCTAGTGTGAGAAACTGAAAGTGTGTGTAAATAAGGACTAAAAGGTATAATAGATAATGTGAAATAGGAAGAAAAGATGCAAAGGGAAAGGGGAAGTGGCAGGGGTAGGGGAAAAGAAAGATGGGAACGGAATTAACATGAGAAAAAGAAAAAATGGAGACAAAGTCTTTGTAGATAAGGTGGGGTAGAGGGGTTGAAAGGAAGGCAGGGGAATGGGGAAAAAATAAGAACCAAGATAGATTATGTTAAGGTGCGAATTTCCAATAATGAATGTCATTATATTGTATACCTTAAATGTATCAATAAAATTAATTAATAAAAAAAGGAGGGCTAGGGATTTGGCTCCATGGTTCTGCCATCTGCCTTGCAAGCTCAAGGACCAGAGTTCGATCCCCAGTACCAAAAAAAAAATAAATAAAAGAAATTCTCCCTCAAAAACAAAAAAAGCAGACAGACACAAAGATTCCAGGGGTCACAGGGTAGAAGGGTGAGTGCCCCTGTCTGAGGCCAACTGGCTGCTTAAACAGACCTGCTCTCACAGTGACCCAAAGTCCACGAGCCAGTTAGCCTGGTCACTGGGGCAGTGCCTCTCACACCTCACAGTGGGTGCTAGGACGTGCACACCACAGGCTGCCCGGTGTCCTGAGCTGTGCTCCCAGGCTGCATCCAGTGCAGGCTCCCCAGAAGCCTCCCATAAACCCCCACATCATTCCCACCTGACTGCAAGGCCCAGAAAAGGAAATTTCCAGCCCCTTCTCCCAAGCACAGTAATCATGGCCTGGCTGAGTGGCACCTTCATTCAGGTCCTCAGAGCTGCCTTTGAACACTCAGCCACTGCTGGAGCTGTTCAGGGAAACTGAGGCAGGGGCAGGTTGGAGAAGCAAGGATCACCTCTGCAGAGTGCTGTGCATCTAGTAGGATGCCACACCAGTGTGATCAGGGCCTCCGAGGACCTCTCTTCCTCCTTCCCACCAGGGGTGCTGGATTCTGGAGCCTCCTGTCAACCTAGTCTGATGGGATCTGGGTTGCTTGTACCTGTGGCTCATACCAGGTTCTGCCTGCAGCTAGCAAAGTTCCCTCTTTCAAGGCCCATGAATATGTGGCAGCCCAGAGAGGTTAAGACAGTTGGCAGGTGGAGAGTCTGGCCTTCCCAGGTCAGCCTGTCCCCAGATTCTGGGCTTTCTGTCAGCACCATGCCTGCAGCTATAGGCTTTGTTGGGGCTGAAAATTAACAACAGCAACACTAATAATAAGATTCAATCAATCCTACCTTAAATCACAGCAGTATCCCACTTGGTTCCCTAGTGTGACCCTGGGCTACAGCTAGCCTCCAGGGGCCCTAATGTGGCAGGGCAGACTCTGCCCTTAAAGAATCAGGCATTTTGGGTCAGGGATTTAGCTCAGTGGCACCGTACCTGCCTCACAAGGGCAAGGTCCTGAGTTCAATTTGCAGTACAAAAAAAAAAAAAAAAAGAATCAGGCGGGGGTTTTTTGTTTTTCTGACCCACAGTCATGGTCACCAGATTAGGTGTTAGGTTGACACCAATTATCTGGGGCAGAAGCAACCCAGGTCCCTATGCTGGGTGCATGAGTGCAGTCCCCAGGGAGCAAGCCCAGGCAGAGAGGAAACATGGGCTGGGGCTGGGGAGAAGGTAGCGCAGCTAGGGGACCCTCGGGCTCCCTGCACAGTTCTGAGGGTGCCTGAGTGGTGGGCTCTGGGCACAGAGAACTAAGAGGAGAGGAAGAAGCCTAGCAGTGTGCCCATAGACCGGCCCAAGGCCTGGGCCAGGAGCAGGACAGGAGGAGGACGCAAGAACTCTCTCACTAGGCACAGCGTTGAGCAGCCAGAGGCCAGGCAGGGCATGTGACAGTCCCTCACTCCCCACCCAGTGCCTCCCCAAAAGAAGGATATTATCACCATACAGCAAACCAGCTACATTCATTTTGTTTCAAGTCATAGTTCTTTCTGGGTTCTTCCAACCATATAAAAAGTGACCATTCAAAATAAAATTAAAAATGTAAGAAAAGGGTGTGACTGCCACCTAGTGGACGGACCTGCCAATTCTACCACTAACTTTCATGCCTTCTGCCCACTGCTGACGCTTTCAGCCCGCCTCACCTCTGACTCCAAAACATTTGAGTCGCAAGGACCACTAGTACTCGAGCGGCTTCTCCTCACAGAGCCACCTCACAATCAAATGTAAGCATATGGAGCAGCGGGAGCAGCTGCTGTGGGCAGAGGCAAGGTGCATTCCCTGATGTCAGTGCCCGCATATGATTAGAGGACCCACGTAGACATGGTGATTGGTGCCTTGCATGGACAATCGCATACCAGATTTGTTTTTTCATGGTTATCAGACAGTAAAAGTCACTTTAAGACCCGTGCCAAATGGGGTTTTGCCCCAAAACTCTAGCTCAGGAATGGAGCAGAATTTAAGCTTCCCTGGGACTGTGACAAAAAGCTGAGGGGCCACATGCTTGCTGGACTTCTCCTGGGGCAAAGAGGAAGATGATATAGCCAGGACTCAGCTGGGACTGGGACCAGAACTCAGAGGACTACCCATGCCCAGAGGAGCTGGTAGAAAGGGGACTCCAGCAGCCTCACCTCTATTCACACAGCCACCAGCCAATGAGAGTGCTGCAGCCTTGCCTCAGGGAGCACCTCTCTGCCTCCTTCGCATCCCAGGAGAAGGACTAGCAGAAACAGCCTCCATCATACCGCACCACTTCTCCAGTTCCAGAAAGAATTTTGAACCAGAGGTGTAGGAGTGGGATTAAAAGTAAACCCAGAGAGATAAGCACATGCTGGACTCTTGATGTTCACTCTTTGTACTTTGTATTAAGGCAGGTTAACTGCTCTAAAAATCCTTCATCCCATTATCTTGACACAATAGTTGTATGCTTGTATGTAAAGCCAAAACTGAATGCTGCTAGTGGCAGCAGCTTCCCATCCTGTGGCATTGCCATCTGAAAGCTGTAACTTGAAAGAGCATCTTGATGTCTCCAAACTGGGAGCCAGGCCTAGAAGATGCCCCATTGTCCTCCAAGCCCATTGGCCATAAACTGAGTCACATGGCCTGGCTAATAGCAGGGGGTTCTGGGGGATGTAGTCTAGCTCTGACCAAGAGGTGGCAAGGCTGGTTTGATGAGCAGCAGGCAGTTCTGCCACACTGATCAATGGGCTGATTTCTTAAAAGAAAGAGTCATAGAGACACACTGCCAACTCATAGAATTATCAAAACCAAGCAGACAGACAAGAAGACACACACTGACCCACAGGATGAGACAAAAATATAAAGACAGGTGGTTGTCTGAACCTGGTGTAAGAGTCCCCAGTGCATGTGGGGCCACCAAAGACTTCCAGAACAGAATGACAAGGACCCTTCTCCCTGAAGGTCAAGTTGGCCAGATGTGGGCTGGGGTTGGGGGTTTTCAGGCAGAAACATCATGGTTAGAACTTGTGGTTGGTAAATGAGTAATTGGGTTTGAAATAGATATTGGAAGCAGCAGGAGG